CCTTCCACTGATAATCGCTAAAGGCACTTGTTATAGTATAAAATACTCTAATCAAAAACAGATTGTAGCTGCGAAGAGGAAAGAAACTAACAGGCCGAAATCTGGAACAAAGTGGGCGCTTTTATCCTTCTGGGGCATGTGTGCCGACAGGAACATATTTGAACTGATTGCTGCAGCCTCGTTAGCAGGAGTAGAACGGAAATCAAAGCGGGAGGAGCAGGACAAGCCCTCTTTCTAGCCCTCCGAGGACAGTCAGTGTGGAATATGAAGGGTGTGTCAGTGTGGATGGAACTGCCTGAAAGGCCACATCCACAAGGTGGGTCAACTCGAACTCAGACCGCTTGGGTGGTATTTTAAAAAAAAAAAAAAAAAAAGAGCGGGGCTGTGTCCTAATGAGCCCAGACCGGGAGTGCAGCCAGGACCAAAAGCAAGCCCTTCCTGAAAAAGGCCGCTCAGCATCCCTGTAGATAATTTTTAGGGGCCGGTAATAACCAATCCCTAATCAAAGATAAGCAGACACACGGGAACAAAAAAGCGTCAAAGTGCGGAATCTACTGAAAACACGCGTTTCGAGTTGAGGCGCCGATGAATGTAGAAGCTGTGATTTCGGGTCCTTTGTTCTACCGTCATGGGTGCTTCCTGTGTGTGAGGTGGAGGCGTGCAGATGCTGGGCGTGCACTCGCTGTTCCAGCGGTCACGGGGATAAATCGCCTAGGCTCTGCTGGTGCGCCATCACAGTGCAGCTTGTTTCCCTTTGTTTTCCGAGTCCCCCAAACGTTTCCGAACACAAGGACTAAGGAGCGCCCATCACCACTTCATAGCAGGTTTTGGAATAAACAGAAGCCTCCTAGGAATGGAGTTGACCTCACTGGTTTCTTTCTCAGAATCTCGTTCCCCGAAGGTTCCACGGTTGAGCTAAGCCTAATTAGTCCCGAAGAAAACCACAGAGCCATTCCTACAAGCAGGAAGGTGTAAAGCAAAGAGAGCTGTCTCGGAGACGTAAACCTCAAGGGTAAATATCTCTGACTTTGCGTCGGTCCAAACAGGTGGTCTATTATTGGGATTCATGGCATGAACTGGAAAACCCTGGTTTTTAAGGCCTGCCTGGAAACAGTCAAAGGCATAGGAAGGGTGGAGGAAAGTTGGAGCAGTATTTAGTTACAGGTGGGCCGCCTGTATTCAACAGTGCACTGGCAAAAACATCAGTAGCACAACATTTGCGTTACTGAAGTGTGTTTGTATTAATTATTAACCCGTACCGTCTACCCAGCTTTTCACAGGGAGTGTTTAAATCCTTGCCTCCACAATTCTGTGTCTGTTTTCTCTTGTTAAAGATTGTGGCAGCTGTCGTCCGCTCAGCCCCTGGCCACCCATGCTTTCTTCTTAGTTATGCCAAACCACAAGGGTACAGGATGATGATGATAATAATAATAATAATAATAATAATAATAATAATAATAATAATAAAGATCAGAGTCAGCCACGGGCCTATCAGCCCAGCATTCAGAATGTCGAGGCAAGAAGGCTGTGAGTTTAAAACCAGCCTGGGCTGCACAAAAAGATGGAGCCTGAAAGGGGAAGAATAATTAACTCACTCTTATCCCATTTTACACATGAGAAGACAATGAGCAAGGCTGACACTTCCTGAAGCAGGTGCAGAGAAGCATGTATTAGTTTTACCGGTTCAACAGACCTGAAGTTAAATCGTGCCCTGCCAGCATTTCTCTTCTCCTGGAGATGAGGCTCAGTAACTTTCCAAGGTGAGGGGTGCTGTGGGGATGAGAGGAAGCCTGGTGCATTTGAGCGCTCAGCTCTAGCGAGGGCCCGTTTTCCCTCCATCAAAGCTGCTTCATCCGAGCCGAGTGCATGGCGCACACCTGTAATCCCAGCACTCAGGGAGGCAAAAGCAGGCGGACCTCTGTGAGTTAGAGGCCAGATTGGTCTACAGAGTGAGTTCCAGGACACCCAAGGCTACACAGAAAAACCCTGTCTCGAAAAATCAAGAAACCAAAATAAATAAATAATAAAAAAATCATCTACTTATTTATGTCTTCAAATGGTTTAAAAAGTCAGTTCTTCCAAGAAAATAAAGCACCTCTGTGGAGAATTTTTAGAATCATGAGAATACAGATCCACGCCATAGCCACAGAGAGCCTTCAGGGTACCCCTACCACGCGTTCTGAACACTGACTTGTTTTATCCTTCAGAAATTATCATACTGTCTCAGTTGTAATTTTTAAGTTGGCTGCTTCCAGAACATCAGAACAGAATCTGTGGCTCTTGAAAAACGCTAACCCAGGAAATAGTGGTCATGGCTTGGCCCTCATTGCTGGCTTCTCAGACAGCCACTCTGCCTTTCCTTCCCCAGGTATCTGTGTGTACAGGGGACAGAGCTGGAGGTTAGCCAGGACTAGAGTTAAGTCCATGGTAGAAGAGACATGACTGACAGATGATTCTTTGGTCTTCATGGTAAAGGTGGCTAATACAGAAGGGATGTATTCCCTTCCTTTATTAAAGGAACATTCTTTTTTTTTTTTCTCTAGAGCTTATGAATCACTTTCATGTACTCTTTTATTTAGACTTTACCATTTCCTGGTCTTAGAGTGGTGTGGAAGGCTATATTCACCCAGCAAATAAGCAAAACCCTGAAGGGGAAAAATGTATTGTTGACAAAAATTTGCTAACATGATATTTGGGTTACTTTGTTACATCCTTACTATCCACCAACCCACCGACATCAGGAACACAGAAGGGGCCCCACAAGCATCTGATGTCACTGCAGTGGCTGCTGTGTGAATTGACTGTCCTTTGCTGACCAGCCAGAAAGCACCATAATGGTCTCTCCCAGTCTGTAATGAAAGCCCTTACCTAGGCTGCTTTCTGAGGTGGCCAAGACTCCCTTAAGTAACTGTAGAGTTCAGAGGCCACATGTGTGGGAAGGTTTGTTCTGTTCTGTAAGGTGTCAAAACCCAGTCTGAGTTGACACTGGCAGTTTGAGAGATTTCACATCCACTTGCAGCCAGCCGGTTACAGGACTAGCAGCAAGTCCTTACCCCTTTGGGAACTTGGGATGGTTACTGGAAAATGATTGTTAGGATAAGGAAATGTTTGGAAGTTCTGCTTCAGTTAGCTCTTTAGGGTATTAGCTGACCACTGCCTCAGGAGAAGGAAATAAAGGAGGAGGAGGAGGAGGTGAAGGAGGAGGGAAAGAAAGAAAGGGAGGAGGAAAAAGAAAGAAGAAGAGGAGGAGGAAGAAGAAAAGAAGAAGAAAGAAGAAGAAGAAGAAGAAGAAGAAGAAGAAGAAGAAGAAGAAGAA